ACGTTACTACGGATATGACGTTTTACACACGCATCATTACCGCGTATTATATTCGATCGGGTAAGGAAGCCATGTTGCTTATGGATCGCATGCACGATTGAGGATGTAGTTTTGGATAGAAACGTGTTAAAGGATGATTGTAGGTATTACACAAGAGCTATACAAGACTTCAGATAGGATTTATATGCCCAAGAATGAGTTTAAATGAATTATCTGTTTGGTTTATAAAGTATACATTAGTTGCAAGTGAATCCTGTTCGAGGAATTTCGGGTTATAAAGATTTCGATAGATAGTTCTATCTCAAAACACAATTCAGTAATCATAAATAATAAAATTAAATACAAATCCTATATTTGCATGTTTCTTATCATTATTTTATGAATTTGTTGTTACATTAATTTATTTATCAAATCATATAACAAAAGAGAAAGAAGCTGCGTTCGTAACATATCTATATATTAATTTTCAGAGTTATCCCCCTTAATTGAGAGTAAATGTACATACTAAACATCTTGTTTATAATATTTCATTATTGATATGTTGTTTATGAGAAGTAGATGTATTGTATATATAAATGATGCATTAAAAGGATGAAACATAAGGCAGATAACGAACAGAACTTAAGATCAAAAGTCCATAAAATAAAACAATACAAAATAGGAGCAGATTCAACATGGACCTCCAAAATATCGGAGGTGGGATCAGGTGCCATGGAAGAGTGAGCATCCCCTGCCGACCGGTCACACCGGTCCATGTCATGTCATACAGTGTATATGTAGATCGGTGCACGAACGTAATCAACATTACTCGTATGTCCTTCATATTAGAGATTGTTCTATCTGACGTATCCGTATAAGTATACGTATCCGTATCCGTATCGAGATATGAAAGGCATGTCGATCCCGATGTCTAAACCATTTAATACAATTCCACCTCTGTTTGTGGTTACTTAAATAAGCCACAGTCTTGCATTGAAAAATAACAAATGGCAATTTTTTCTATAGAAATACTAAACTGCTGTAAACCTCTATCATTTCGAAGAAAAATATTGATTAAAAAAAAAAAGAAAATGAAACCAAGTTTAAAATTAATTTCATTTTGTTTCCAAATATTTGTTGAAAAATCCCCTTTCTCCTTTTCCTCTCTCATAATATCAGGATATTTTATTGATTCATTCTGTATTTTACACTATACCATTACACGTAACTGATAACATAACAGATATCCCCCCCCCCACACACACACACTGAAATACAAAATACCTTATCATCATTCGATCATTAAAACTATGTAGCCGTTTTTAGAGAGAGTTTCCGAATTGATTTCATAATTCGCGTCAGGACCGTTACAAGTTCTGAGTATATGCTTTGAATAGCCAGTTCAACTCCCTCTTTTTCACCTCCCCTCACATTGGCGTCGGAAGGAAATTGAAAGTAGGAAGTGGGGCTAATTGAATGAGAGAAAATTCAGCCCTGAAAAAGCATAAAAAAGGATTTTTTTGTTCATTGTCCAAAATCCTTAAATATTTTTGTGTGTGTGAGTGTGTGTGTGTGGGGGGGGGGGGGGGAACTTTTTTCATTACCATTTTTTTTTCAAACACTCCCACTTACCCTACTTTAACCATTGGCATCGGCAGCAAATTGTAATTTGTAAATGGGGGGGGGGGGTATATTAGAAATATTTTTGTTATTCCTTCAAAAAAAAAAAAAAATGTCCATCTAAACACGAAAATCCTATTTCGAGGGGGGGGGGTTCGTTTCACTAGCAAATTTTTTCCAAACAACACCACTTTCCACAATAATTTAACCTAAACTAAAACGTGTTTGTGGAAAGTGGGGAGGGGGCTTAACCTATGCAGCGATGTTCAATGTCTATATTAAGTCTATCTTTTGATTAAAAAAGTGGGGGGGGGGCTACGCCCCCCTAGCCCCCCCCCCCCGGTTCCGACGCCTATGTTAACTGCAATACAACATGCCTGTTGAGAGTGGGGAAGGGGCTTATCCTACGCTTAATATATATTATGTCCATCTTTGCAAATAAAGTGGGGGGGGGGGGGCGATAAGCCATCTGCCCCCCCTCCCCCCTCCCACACACACACAATAGTATTTAAGGGTGAGTTTTTCAGAGCTTGCTTTGTTTACTAAAAACTCCATCATGTAACTTTCATGAAAAGAAGTTAATATGCAAAAAGAATAGTTTAAGAGAGGAAGATACATCATAGCTTAACATTTATTTTCTTCTTACCCTTTTTTGTTGGTTTAGCACCCCTTTCAACCAGCTCCCCGTTCTATTTCTTTCCGACGCCCATGATACGGTTATCGACCTAGAATTAAGTGAGTGTATTCAAACTGCCCCAGAATTTCCAGATATCCAAAGTTTTTCTGGAGAACTATGACTATCAAATACGTGATAATGAATGGCATAGTACATGATAAAAAAGGAAGTGAGGATGGACATTTTCAGTGAATCCCCCATACACATTTTTTTTGCACTTTGATTAAATCTTTCCCAGTTAATGTACAACTACATGTACTTACAATTTACAAGTTTGAGATAAAGAGGTTTAACTGTATATATAATTCTATATTCTTGGGAATATGTCGTGTTCTTATAAATGTTATTTCAAGAATGAAGAATGAATGCCCTAAAATTGAGAGAGAGAGAGAGAGAGAGAGAGAGAGAGAGAGAGAGAGAGAGAGAGAGAGAGAGAGAGAGAGAGAGAGAGGGGGGTCGATCTAGAAATATTTTCTACATATTTAAATTAAAAAAAAATCATACCTGTTTTTCTAATTTTATTTCTAAACTTTTATTCAAACCTCCACCCAAAGAGACATGATGCATAAGACGTGAACAGCAACTTATATGTTTTTATTAAAAAAAAATCACACTACATATAATTTCTTAGTGAATAAGGTTAAAAACCAAACTTGAAACGATGGAAATGTAACCAGATGGTTTAGACATCGGGATCGAGATGCCTCTCATACCTCGATACGGATACGGATACGTATACGGATACGGATACGTCAGATAGAACAATCTCTATTATTAGGTTTATTGCAAACCATTACATCAACATGGCCTTTAGCAGCAGAAGTGACTTAAGTTAACATTTTGTGTCCATTTATCAAAAATCCATTAAAATACCCAAAGTTGTAGTCTTTTCGCCTTCTGACATTACAAAGAATCATCGCCTATTAGTGATTTTATATCCTTTAAACTGATGTTATTTGTATTCTCAAGTACTTTCCATTGCAATCTATAATATAATTTTGTCAAAGAAACCTTACTCTGTTTACATCAAATTGTCTTTGTAAGTGTTCCTTTTAAGATTGTATTTAGTGCCCTTCCAATGGCATGGCTGGAGAATCTGAAAACTTAACCTGTAATGCGGACAAAGTGATTGTGCCATTTTCACTTCAAGTGAAACTTAATAAAGTATGTTTCTGGTAATGTGACCATCCATTATTTCATTCACCAACCCTTAGGTTATTATACCCCACGCAACGAGTTGCGTGAGGTATAATGATTTTGACCCATCCGTCAGTCCTTTTTTTGTCAGCATAACTCCTGATAAACCACACAATTTCGTCAAACTTTGCAGGTATTTAGGACACGATGTGTAGATGTGCATATTTTCAGGAAATTCCGATTCCTTTATTTTTTCCGGGAATTTCCGCACTTTAGACTTTTGGCCATATCTTGAATATAGAGATGAATTGTTTGTCAGCACAACTCCTCATAAACCGCTGCACACAATTTCGTCAAACTTTGCAGATATTTAGGACACATTGTGTAGGCGAGTATATATTCAAGAAATTCCGATTCATTCATATTTCTGGGAATTTCGGCACTTTTCAACTTAGATTTTTGGCTATATCTTGAATAAAGAGATGAATAGTTTGTCAGCGCAACTCCTCATAAACCGCTGCACACAATTTCGTCAAACTTTGCAGATATCTAGGACACATTGTATAGATGTGTATATTACCAGGAAATTTCGATTCCTTTATTTTTTCCTGGTATTTCAGCACTTCGACTTTTTGGGGAGCTTGGTGAGCTTGCTCACTTTTTCTTTCATTATATATATTCCAGATCGAGATTTTGAACTGTACTCTTGTTTACTATTACAGTTTGCAATTAGTTAAATGCATTTCTCATACTGTTACCTAAAACACTTTTTTTGGGCTGCCCAATCTTTCACTGCCAATGCGAATAAGAAAACCTCGAATGTGAAGAAAAGCGTTATAAAACGAGAGTGTATGTACCTATTTAACAGAAAATTGCTGCAAATAAAGCCCATGATAAAATAAAGAATACCATCTCTGCATATAGAAAGAGAATATCTTTTGATCTAGGGCTTTACTTAAAACTCATTGGTAAAATCAAAAAGGAGGTTTTGGGGGGTTAAATATTTAGATCTAGGGATATAATCGCAACCTAGGAGATGACCTTTTGCTACAATGGACAGGACCCCCCCCCCCCCCCCCCCCTATATATGACCCCTACCTTGTAAAAATTTTTTTTTTTACAATTTATATTTATTACACTTCCTTTTCAAATATACAATGCGAAAAAATGAGTTAAAACTCCAGATAACCGTTCCGTACAAAAAATACCCCTCTATACATAATAAGGGAGAAAGGTATGCAACTCCGGTTTGTTGACATTTTACCTTCGTGGTATTTCTGTGTTTAAAAAAAATACTTTTATTTCAAATCAACTCCAAATGCCGGTTCACGCTGTCTCGACATACATTTTACTTTTTGATTATGCAATTACAGTGGCTGTGCGTCTCGTAAGAATCCCACAATTTATCCTCAAACACGATCTTAGCTGGCTGTATGATTTTTCCCTCAGTAAGTTCAACGGAAGTAAAAAAATCGCGACACCTACGAAAAGGCAGATAACTCGCGCGGAGAACGTCTGATGTTCCGAATGTTCAAAGCATTGCGATAACTCCCGAGGACGGGCACTTTTGTTTTGAACTGACAACATGGACGAGGACCAGAGAACAGCATATGATTTATCTGTAAGTGGGCACAATTTAGTCATTACAGGCCAGGCAGGGACTGGGAAAACATTTCTTATTAAAGAAATAGTGAAGAACTTACGTGAATCGCAGGGAAAAAAAGTATCAGTAGTTTGTTCAACAGGCATTGCTGCCACTCATTATGGCCATTTATCAGCTCAAACATTGCACAGGTGGTCGGGAATTGAAGATGGAAAATATCTTAACGAAGAAATTCTTCATCTTTTAAATACCGATGAACGATTTTTAAGTGCCAAAACCAATATCCAGCAAGTTGAAACTTTAATTATTGATGAAATTTCGATGATAAGTTCCAAAATACTGTCTCAGGTAGAATTCATATGTAGAAACATCAGAAATAATAATTTTACATTTGGAAAAATTCAGGTTATATTGGTTGGCGATTTTTTTCAACTACCACCAGTGTCAAGTGAGCTTCATGGTCACCCAGGTAACCACTGTTTCAAAGCATCATGGTTTTCTGATTTTTTTACACATAAAATAAATTTGAATGTGGTACATAGACAGGACAATCCCGAACTCATTACATGCATTAATGAACTTGAGAGAGGTGAGCTGTCTGATCATAGTGCAGCAATCCTAAATTCCTTAAATCGCCCTATTGAGAATGAAGAACAGTGTATTCAATTGTTTGCACGTAACTTGGACACTGATATGTTTAATTACAATAAATTACTTACTGTGCCCGGTGACCTCAAAGTATATACTAGTATTGATGAAGGCTCACAGCATTATCTGAACAAATTTCTTGCTCCAAAGAACTTGGGCCTGAAGATAGGATGCCCAATCATGTTGTTAAAAAATATCAGTTCCACACTGGTTAATGGACTAAGAGGACATGTATTACACCTTCATGAAAAGTCAGTTGAAGTTTTGTTTGAAATTAATAATAAATCAGTCTGTGTGAACATTACTCCTCATTTCTTTACCACATTTGACCCTGTAGACAAAAGAGTATTGGCAAAACGTGTTCAGCTACCTTTGAAATTGGCTTATGCCATTACCATTCATAAATCACAAGGCATGACACTTGAAAATGTAATTGTAAATTGCCAGTATTGTATTCAACCCGGTCAACTTGGTGTTGCCATAGGGAGAGCTGTGTCAGTCAGTGGATTAAAAGTTTTAAACTTTAAAAAACATTTATGCAAGAAACACCCTAACCATGTCTATAGATTTTATGAAAGTCTATCAATCGGTGATGTAAAAAATGATCTGAGTTGTTGCATAAACTCTAAACAAGAAAATGAAGAAGACTCTGAAGATAGTGATGGCAATGAAAATCCCCCCTCCCTTTGTAACTTAAAAAACTCTGAATTTGACTCTGATTTTTCAGAATCAGAAATAGAAAATTTAGAAATTTTAAACATGCTTGACCCTGATGATGATGAACGACCTGCTATGCCACATTCTTCTTTTCATGAACAATCACACTCAGCTTCTAGAATTGCACTTGAAAGTGTGTTACAGCAATTTAAAGACACCCCTGTAGAAAATGACATGATGAATAAAAAACTTTTACAAGTTTGAATGGTTTGAAAATCAGTGGTCGAGATGCTATTTACAAAAACTTTTACAAGTTTGACCAATGGTTTGAAAATCAGTGGTCTGAAATTGAAAACATTGGACTGCATTCATTTCCCGAGGGTAAAACCAAATTCACCCAAGCAAACAGAAATACCTTCTTTACAACATTTAATAAGTACTTAAATTCAGATGAGTTTGAACAAAGTGTTATGAATCTTTTGCAGTTTTATCACCAGGACTTGAATGGACCTTATTGTAGACTTCTGACATCCATTCTTTTTCACTTGGAGGAAAACTTCTTTCTCAGTCTGACTCCTCATCTCCAGTTGTCTGATCCCATACCATTGAAAAAACCAGCAGCAGAATGTGAACTTGATACCAGTGGAAGAGGCAAGCTGCGTTATGTTAGTGGATATGTGCTGGCAAAATTAAAACACAACACATCAAAGAAAATACAAAATTCAATTTTTGCTAAAGGAAAAGAGATGAATTTGAAAATGTATCAAAATGAAATGACAATTTACAACTCATTATGTTGTTCTTATGAGGAATTACAAATGTCGTCATGTGATCCTGGAAGTTTAGATGAAACAAAACGTAAACAAAATGCACGTGGAAGTCTGATTAACATTTCTGATTCGACATTCAAGTTTTTTCAAAAGTTAGAGTTACTTTGTCGCCAAATGCTCACACATGAAAAATTAGTGCATATTGGGAAATTTTTATTTGACAAAGCAAAAACTGAACTATTAAACAATTTAGAGTTATTTCAGATGTGGGTTCAGTGTGTTATAGATTCCAGACAACACAGTACAGAAGAAGAAATGGACTCAGATATTTCCAAGCTTCTGTGTGAAATGGTAAGCTTATGTGAACTGAGCCTTCAATCTTTTCAAAGTGTTATTACACTCTTCCTGAAAGTTAACCTTAGTCAGTTCAGGAAAGATTATTTGGCTCATTTAAAAAAGGAAAAAGGGGAAGCTCTTCGCAAAAAAGTTATCAAGAGGACAAATAAAACTCCTAAGACATTTAACATGAAGTTTTACATTGAAGATCAGTCTGAAAATAAACAAGCTTCATTTCTGAGACTGAAATCTGAGCTTATACAGAATGACAAATTTTTGGAAGAAAATCAATTTACCAAGCAAATCTTGATTCAGATTTGTAAAAATCTCAAAGTCACAGTATCTGAACGAAAGAAAAAGATAGACATAATTGCAGTGATTAAAGAAAACATAAAGAAATTGGAACATTCTGAAATATTGACAACCCCTGTTGAACCTGATATTCCAGGGCCCAGTGGAGTTAACCAGTCTCCAATTACTGATGAACCTCCTGATTCTGCACCTGTTCTTTCAGAACCTGAAACAAGTCAAGCAAAAGTGAATAGGACTTCTAGAAGGAGAGGAAAAGGCAAAGGGAGAGGTAAACAAAGAGGTAAAAAAAAAATATTTTATCAATTTTTTACCTAGATAATTTGCTATAATATGACAAAGACTTGAATGTTATGTATGCACTGTAATTAAATTTTTATGTAATTATTTTACATAAATATGATATTACTTTTTTTGGCAGTGGACGAGTCTGTGGCAAAGTAGCGCATTCTCCACCTGTGTTGGACTTTCTGGAAATTGAAGTCTGTCCTAAAACCACAGAGTTTAAAGAGTGACAGTATCCAAGGTATGTAGGATATGTATTTGCTCCATTGTGGAGAGTTCTTTGTTGGCAGAATGTATTTTCTACAATATCACTGTTTAACCTGCTAGGAATGATGGATGCATGAGATTTTTTTAATTTATATACACAAAGTTCTTCAAACCCCAAAATAGCCGAGACAATGTCCTGTCGTGTTTGGTATGATATTAAAGAGTTTTCTTTGTTCTTCACAGATTCATCCTCTTGAATGCTCCTTTCCCAGTTAACAAACCAGTCCAGTGCATCATGATTTTCTGTAAGTCTTTCATCTGTGCATTCAGTAATTGGCCTATGGTCTCTAAAATTTTTAATCAATACGCTTGTGGATCTTAAGAGGTCAATAGTAGCATCCAGCTTAGTACCATTGCTTCCTAGAAAGTTCTTGTACAATTCCATCAAATGCAGCATATCACTGTTAAGCACTTGTTCTGCTAGATGATTGCGCATTTTTGCCTCTGAATTCAGAAACAAATGTTCTTGGGTAAGGCAATTATGAACAGGGAAGGGATGAGATGAGATATCCCACAAATAAGCTTGTTTGAAATGGTTCCATTCAATGAATTTATCCCCAACTTTCAGATGTCTTGTGCAGTGTTTTTCTGACCCACTTTTCAGAATGTTATTTCTAATCTTTTTTATGACATGTGATATATCCATGATAAAAAAAATCTTAGAATTATCAAAGGAGTAAATGTTCTTGAAAGAGCAAGTAACTGGGTCTACTGTTTTAAAATCAGGCAGTAAGAGTTTGAAGAGGTCTCGGTTTGTTTGGGCGCCATCAGTACTAATATATTGGACCTTAAAACCAAAATTTAGCAACATATTTACAGCCTTCCACAAAAGTAGGTACAATTCATGACCAGAGGCTGTGGCAGAAGGAAAATGAGCAAAGGGAAACCTGAATCCTGTGAAGCCCAAAAACATGAACTGCAAGACATGAGTGGCCATTGTCCTTTCTTTCTTATTTGTTTTAATTTGGTCAAATATTACTGATTCGGGGGTGCACTCTGTAAACCCTATCAATTGTATATCACCGTCTTTTTTTTTAAACTGCAGGTCGGGTTGAAGAGCCATCTCGTCGAATATCAACCCCCCTTCGAAACCCTCTGGAGGCAGGTTCTTCATCTTTGCATCACTGGCCATCCAGTGCAACATGCTGGAGTGGATGCCCGCTTCTTGGTGAATGATGTTTTTGTATATCTGCAGCAACCTTTGCGAAGGAAGTGCAAGGAAATTGCTACTTCTTAGTTCCGCATACCCCCGTGGGCTTCTACACCACAAAGTGAGGCACATCCGGACAATATCTTTATTCCACCTCCGTCCGTGGGGATGTCTCTCCAAAGCCAATTTTCGGGACATCAAAAATGATTTAACTTTCTCTGTACATTGTGGGAATAATGAATTAAAGATTGTGTGCATGTCTGTGTGATCTTCTTTACTGAGTTCCACATCTGATTGCTTATTTACAGTAAATGATTTTTCATTAAGAGATGAATTAGAAGGATTAGGTGTGTCAACTGGTTTATTTTTTGGGAGTTGGTTGAGATATTTACATGGAGGGCAGGAGTTTGATGCCAGTGTTGATGTTTTAAAGGGCAACACTTTTGTACAGGACTTTGATCTGTACCGCACAGAGATAGGGCTGTTTTCATCACCTAGCTTTGATACATGCTCTACATAAATTTTTGAAGTTTTGTTTTTAGATGGAACAACACTTTGTACACCATCACAGTACCGCAACTTTCTTACAATTTCAAAAATTGTCATAGAGTTATATGTCTTATCAAGTCCAAGGTCAACTGGGTTAATAACTGATCCCATAGTGAAAAGGCTCCATGTAGAATCAGAATTAAGTGTTATTTCAATGAGGACCTGGCTTCCATTAACTACAGTGCTTGTCAAGTGACCAACTTTTAAGTAGCATTGTTGTTTTGCCATGATAAAGAAATCATCAGGGACTTTTACTTCATTGAATGATATTTTTAAGTCTGTATTTTTCCAGTGAATTCCATAGTATTTTTTGGTCAATTTACACCAGTCAGTTTTTGAGCGTCCAGTTTTTACATTCACATTTCTAAAAAATTGGCTAATAATTTTGGCAATTGCTGTACTTGTTATTTTACAATTGACACACTTATTTTTTATATCTGCAAGTTCAATATACTCATTTTCGTCCCCTTCCTCAATATTCTCGTTGATCCAGTTAATTAAATAATGTGATGAGTCGGTCATTCTGATTTTCACTGTTTTTTTATTCTTTGAATAACGCGCGTAAAACAAAAGTGCCCGTCCTCGGGAGTTATCGTAATGCTTTGAACATTCGGAACATCAGACGTTCTCCGCGCGAGTTATCTGCCTTTTCGTAGGTGTCGCGATTTCATTACTTCCGTTGCTTTTACTGAGGGAAAAATCATACTGCCAGCTAAGATCGTGTTTGAGGATAAATTGTGGGATTCTTGCGAGACGCAGAGCCACTGTAATAGCATAATCAAAACTTAAAATGTATGTCGAGACAGCGTGAACCGGCATTTCGAGTTGATTTGAAATAAAAGTATTTTTTTTAACACAGAAAGACCACTAGGGTAAAATGTCAACAAACGGGAGTGGCATACCTTTCTCCCTTATTATGTATATAGGGGTATTTTTTGTACGGAACGGTTATCTGGAGTTTTAACTCATTTTTTCGCATTGTATATTTGAAAAGGAAGTGTAATAAATATAAATTGTAAAAAAAAATTTTTTACAAGGTAGGGGTCATATATTGGGGGGGGGGGGGGGGGGGTCCTGTCCATTTTTTTTATAACTGTTCCGTGTTAATACAATGCTCAATTTCTTAATACAAGTCTTAACTCAACCAATCAAATGTACTCCCATTGGGGGTCATCCGTTTGATATCATTACTAAACAAGAAGCCAACGGGCCTTATAGGTAACCTTAATATCATGTAACAACTTTCCAACAATTGAATTGCTTCGTGTTTTAAACCAAAGGCCATAAAATTCACAATTTTGAAAGAGGTACCATTGCTTATCATAACCTTACACTTAGCTTGCTTACTTTATACCCAGAGGTAGATCAGAGTAACAAAGAGAAAATGCATTTCCACTTTATAACCAGTTGTACACCCCACCTCACAAGAACCACCGACCCTGAAGGAACATACTAGTATTTCAAAATTCTGGAAATTATAAATCATAAATGGTTGATTAATACCAAATAGCAGACTTCAAAACATTAAATTATTTTCAGACTATGTAACCCCCCTCTCCACCCCAAGTACCCCTGACCCAGGGGCCATGAAATTAACCATTTTGGAAGAGTCACCTATCAGCATCATTAATATGTATTTAGATCGTTGGCATAATACCAAGAAGAAAAGGACAAAATTTTCAAAGAAGTTTTGCATTTTCACCATATAATCATTAGAGCCCCGCCGCCCTAACACCAAAACGCCTGACCCAGGGGCCCTTAAATTAATAATTTTGGAAGAGGCAGCCTTCCTCAACATAACTGGTTACATAGTTTACTGGTTAAATACCCTGGAGCAGAGGAGAAGATTTTTTAAAGAAAATGTATTTTACTATGTATCAACAGAGCCCCACCCTAACACCAGAACCCCCAAACTAGGGGCCCTGAAATTCACAATTTTGGAAGAGGCATCCTTCCTCATTATAACCATGTACCTACTTCACTGGTTTAATACCCAGGAGTAGAGGAGGAAGATTTTCAAGAAAGATATGGAAATAACGAACAGTATTCAATCTCAAAGTCCATAAAACAATACAAAATAGGAGCAAAGCAAACATGGACCTCCGAAACATCAGAGGTGGGATCAAGTGCTATGGAGGAGTAACCATCCCCTCTAACCGGTCACACTCGCCGTGTGCCCCTTCTCATGATCGGGAAATAACGGAAAAAATCCGTTGTCAATTCAGTGTATAAATAATGGAATAACAGTTAGTATGAAAAACGTCAGTCAGCATTTGACTCAATGATAAATTGTATTTGCTGACAAGGTCATTGTATCGACCATAGAACTTACGAAATGATGACTTTAAACGAGACTGCTGATATTCTTGTTTCATCAACTTGCTTGTCAATAATTTACCTCTTTATAGAAATTGTTCATACATAGAGCATGCTCCTGCGTATCGAATCAACTGAGATATATATACTCCGTATCCAGGTGATAAAGGTATATTGCTGCATAAGTAAGGGAAGTTAACGATCAAGTTAAAGTCATCACGTTTATCATATAGCTTGGTTGTTAGATTACCATTAACGTCTTTTTCAAGTAAAATATCCAAGTATGAAACAGATGTGTCAGACTCTGTGGTATTTTTTATCTCAATCTCACCAGAATATATCGTATCGACGTAGAAATGATTTTGCACAGATTCTGCTTAATATGAATATAAAAATAGGTCTGCTAATAACGGAGCGCAATTAGTACCCATGGGAACTCTAATAGATTGTTTAAATACTTTGTCTCCAAAAACCACATAGATATTGTGAATCAGAAACTCAAGCATCTCTTTGATGTCACCTTCAGAGAACTTGTGTGTGTGCAATCAGGATGTGTTTCAACAAAATAATTTTGCAAATGACCAATGACCAGGTAAGTCAATTTACGAGTTCCATTTTTATTGAAAAAGAATTCATGCATTTCCACTACATTATTAGTAGAGCCCCGCCCTAACATCAGAACCCCTAACCCTGGGGCCATGAAATTCAAAATTTTGGAAGTGGCAGCCCTATTCAACATAACTATATTTTGTTTGTTTTTTAAATACCCAGGAGCAGAGAAGATTTTCAAAGAAATAAAGTATTTTCACTATATAATCTATATAGCCCCGCCCTAGTACCTAAGAACCCCTGACCCTGGGGCCATGAAATCCACAATTTTGCAGCCGTTTTCAACATAACTATGTATTTAGTTAGTTTATTTAATATACAGGAGCAGAGAAGATTTTAAAAGAAATAATTTATTTTTACAACATAATCTACATAGCCCCGCCCTTGACTAGAACCCTGGGGCCATGAATTTCACAATTTTGGTAGGGGACTCAATGCTCATAACATTCATACCAACAGTTTGACTGCTTGATATCCAGGAGTAAAAAGGAAGATTTTTAAAGGTTGCATTAATATTAGTGGTTTTTGACCCCACCCCTAATGCTCCAGAGAAGCTGCAAATGTTAACGCACAACGTACGACGACGGACAAAAATGGATCGCAATAGGTCACTCAGGTGACCTAAAAGGCACATGGTAAATAATAATGGCCGACTTTACAGGTGGCCACCCAGTATTCCGTTCTGTGCAAGAAGCCTAGGTAGCTGATTGCTTTGTTTGTAACCCGATTGATATGCTAACTCCAATTCAGGTCATCCGATATATCGACACCCAGATACCGAGCTGATGAGACTCTAATACCTGACCATTAAGTATATAGTTGTTACAAATGGGGTATCTGAATGTCGTTACATGGATTACCTGACACTTACTTGGGTTGAATTCCATGTCCCACAAGGTCTCCCAGTTCTCTAGTTGCTTGAGGTCCTCTTGGAGCATTAACTGACATCCCTGTCCATCCATAGTTACATTGATGACAGTGTTGTCATCGATTGAATGTTTTAGTCACATATAACTAATTCCTACAGCAGAAGAATTACCCCTTGTCTGTGCATGGTTGGTATGGAAAGTTAAATATGAAGCATTATCACCCCCCATAAGTAAGTTTTGCTTTCGGTTTTTTATGCCCCATTAATCAAAGTATTGGGGATAAATGTATATAGTTTTAAATATTTTTTTATTCCTCAGATAATTTGGATTTTGTTTTTTGTCCCCTTTTTAAAAATGACGCTATGTACGTCCCTGGTTGTATGGCAGAAAAAATTTCAGTTTCAGTGATTCTTAAAGTTATATATGGTTTGTCTGAGATAATAATACGATATAAGTTTATACGAGGGGTTATCAACAAGTTCGTGGACTAGCGCCATAAAACTAAAACCGCTTAAGATAATCAATGAATTTTACAATATCTACTTAGCATCATCTATGCTATCTATAGATCAAACCACAAATCATAAATGTTAATTTTTAATAAATTAGTAATGTTTTGTAAGCAATGGTATGTCCAGGCGGCGCAACCTCGAATACGACGTTTTTGCGACCTATGTGTAACTGAAAAAAACTCTTTTGAACACTTGACATCCACAAATCGAGTTAATTCAGGCATGTGTTGGGACACAATTGTTCCATAAAATGATTTCTTTTTCATTTATTCTGGAAGTTCTATGAAATTTTATCGTAAATTTCACATTGAGTGTCCAAACAAATAAGGCCTTGAAAATGACGTCAAAGACAGGAGGGGTTTTCTTTTCCAACATTTTATAAAATTTTGTCCCTGAAAAACTGGTATAGACCTAAGAAATGTTTAAAATGGCTACAGAGACATAATATACACCCAGAGTAGTTGTCTTTTAATGTCAACATAGATTCAGAGAGAAAAAGGATGCACAGTTAATGTCGATCTGTAGTATAGGTTGAAAAATCTTTCACGTGAAAAAATGTCGTTGATCATGTGTTGTATTTAATATATATATATATATATATATATATATATAAATATATATATACTAGTATATATATATTTAAGGAATCACTGTCTAGTTAGGAGGGTATGTCAGGGCATCAACAATAATGGGAAACATGGGATAAGCCCGTTATGCTAAAATTATCCCATGTTTCCCACTATTTTTGATGTCCCTGGCATAGTCTCCTAACTAGACAGTGATTCCTTATATTTCCATTTTTTCTTGAAATAACAATCTTAAAATAAATCGGAATACCGTCTAATCTAGTAGATTTGAAATGCACGAGGCATTTCATGTTCTTTTCTATTGCCCCGCCCCATGACGTCAAATTTTGTTATAAAAAATAGTCCCATAAAACACGAACCAAATTTATTGATTATTTAGTTACTGTAGCCAAATATCAACATTTATAGAATAAACAACAAAAGAATTTTAAATTATGACCAAAGCAGTCTTGTTAACTTTGATCATATATGTGACCTAGATTTAGGTTGTCGGAAGCACGAAAACGTGTATAGGCCCAAGGACACTTCTCCGCCGCCATATTGAATGCAATGTTCCAGTTGATGAAACGGGAGTTAGTCAGCATGGTCAGGATTTCTCTCAATTTATAAATCCATT